TAGTAGTAAGGTGGAGGAGGAGACTTCACCGGAGGAGGTGGCGAATGGTAGTAGTAAGGTGGGGGAGGAGACTTCACCGGAGGAGGTGGCGAATGGTAGTAGTAAGGTGGGGGAGGAGACTTCACTGGAGGAGGTGGCGAATGGTAGTAGTATGGCGGTGGTGGGGATTTAACTGGTGGTGGTGGTGAATGGTAATAATAAGGAGGTGGAGGAGATTTTACCGGTGGTGGTGGAGATTTGTAGTAGTATGGTGTAGGAGTGTGAGTTGGAGGTGGTGGTGATTTGTAGACGTAGGTCGGAGTGGGTGGAGGTGGTGATTTATAGACATATGTAGGGGTTGGTGGAGGTGGCGACTTGTAGACATATGTGGGAGTCGGTGGTGGTGGCGACTTGTAGACATAAGTCGGAGTCGGTGGTGGTGGTGACTTGTAAACGTATGTCGGAGTTGGTGGTGGTGGTGACTTGTAAACATATGTCGGAGTCGGTGGTGGTGGTGACTTGTAAACGTAAGTCGGGGTTGGTGGCGGTGGAGATTTATAAACATAGGTTGGGGTTGGTGGAGGAGGCGACTTGTAGACATAAGTTGGAGTCGGCGGTGGTGGTGATTTGTATACGTAAGTTGGAGTTGGTGGTGGAGGAGACTTGTATACATAAGTTGGGGTAGGAGGAGGAGGCGATTTGTAGACATATGTTGGGGTTGGAGGAGGAGGCGACTTGTAGACGTAAGTCGGAGTTGGTGGTGGTGGAGATTTGTAGACATAGGTTGGAGCCGGTGGTGGTGGTGACTTGTAGTAGTAAACTGGAGATGGTGGTGGTGGTGATTTGTAGTAGTAAGGAGGATGGTAAGGAGCGGGTTTGTGGCATTCTCCGTAAGGTTTCTTAGGTGCATAAGCAAAGGACTTGGCATAAAGCACAACCTCGTACTTTGTCTTTGATTTCACATGAAGCTTTGCACCTTTGTTACCCATATGGTAGTCTGTAGGAATGTTACACGGTGAGCCTTTAGGCGGAGCGTGAAGCTTGGCAGTGCAGACTTCGCCACCGTATTTACGGTAGTTGTATCCCTTAACGGTGATTGCATATTTACCGTTGATTTTGGTCTTTCCATAGGCCTTCACTGTCTTGTCACCAGCCTTACAAGTCACTTCCACAACAGCACCTATATTGGAAAAAAAACAAATCAAATTATTTAAGTTTTAAAGTATCAGTTCATGTCCTTTTAGTTGGTATCTACTAAATTGATTTTGCTTGTTCGATCTGTTTGGATTGTTTATGTCAATAACAGATTCTTGTCTTTTTCTTGACTTGAATCGTTTACGTTTCTCCACTAATAAATAATTAGACTACTTGCAATGCAAGTATGCAACTACCACTTTACAATACATATATGCTTGTTATTTAAATCTTTTAAGCCTATAATCATCAACATAACAATTTTGTTTAATTAAATAAGAAATATGGTAAGATTAAAAAAATTAACTACTGAACACGTGGAAGACTTAATTACCTTTGAGATGCTTCTTATCGTGGGACTTTTTGGGGTAAGTCCAGTCATAACATCTGTAACAATACACTTTACCTACAACTTTGAATACAAGTGGATGCGGGTGTGGGTGTGGGTGTGGATGTGGATGTGGGTATGACACCGGAGGTGGTGGTGATGAATAGTAGTATGGTGGCGAGTATGACTTTGGTGGTGGTGGTGGAGATGAGTAGTAGTATGGTGGAGGGTAAGATTTTGGTGGTGGTGGGGATGAGTAATAGTAAGGTGGAGGTGGTGATTTCACCGGAGGAGGTGGAGAGTGATAATAATATGGTGGTGGTGGGGATTTAACCGGTGGTGGTGGAGAGTGGTAATAATATATTGGTGGAGACTTCACTGGAGGAGGAGGAGAGTGGTAGTAATACGGTGGTGGTGGAGACTTCAACGGAGGAGGAGGAGAATGGTAGTAGTATGGTGGCGGAGGAGACTTCACCGGAGGAGGAGGAGAATGGTAGTAGTATGGTGGCGGAGGAGACTTGACTGGTGGGGGTGGAGAGTGATAGTAGTATGGTGGTGGTGGAGACTTTACTGGAGGAGGTGGAGAGTGATAATAGTACGGTGGTGGTGGAGACTTAACCGGAGGAGGAGGTGAGTGGTAGTAGTATGGTGGTGGTGGAGATTTAACCGGTGGTGGTGGAGAGTGATAGTAGTACGGTGGTGGTGGAGACTTAACCGGAGGAGGAGGTGAGTGGTAGTAGTATGGTGGTGGGGGAGATTTAACCGGTGGTGGTGGAGAGTGATAGTAGTACGGTGGTGGTGGAGACTTAACCGGAGGAGGAGGTGAGTGGTAGTAGTATGGTGGTGGGGGAGATTTAACCGGTGGTGGTGGAGAGTGATAGTAGTACGGTGGTGGTGGAGACTTAACTGGAGGAGGTGGAGAGTGATAATAGTAAGGAGGAGGAGGCGATTTCACTGGTGGTGGCGGAGAGTGATAGTAG